GCAATCACTTGTTATGCATCAGAGAGTTGGACAGTGTCCAAGGAGGATAGAAGGAGAATTGATGCCTTTGATCTGTGGTGCTGGAGAAGAGTATTGAGAATACCATGAACTGCTAGGAAAATAAACAGATTCGTACTGGAAAGGGTCAAACCGGGTGGCTCCTTGGAGGCAAGGATTCTGAGGCTCCGTCTAACATACTTTGGACATGTTGTGAGGAGAGACCAGTCCTTGTAGAAGGACATCATGCTTGGGACGGTGGAGGAACAGCGCAGGAGAGGAAGGCCCTCTATGAGGTGGATTGATTCAGTGACTGGGATAATTGGGCTGGGAGTGTCAGAGACAGTGCGATTGGCATAGGACAGAGTGGAGTTTAGGGCTGTTGTACGTAGGGTCGCTATGAGTCGCAAGCGACTCGACGGCACATTACAACAACAACAACAGAGACACAAAAAACCTTTTTAAAGAAAACTACAAAGCATTACTGTGAGAAACTATAGTAGACTTTAATATATTTAAAAATATTACCTGTTCATGAATGTTGTTGTTATGTGTCGCGTTGTTTGCGACTAGAGTGACCTTAAGTACAACAGCCCTAAACCCTGATCGATCTTGCGCCAATCTTATTGTCTCTGACATACCTACCCCCCATCTCATTAAGGGTCTTCTCTGTTCTTTCACCCTTCCAAGCATGACACCCCTCTCTAAGGACTGATCCCACCTTGTAACATGTCCAAAGCATGTCAAATGGAGCTTCAGAATCTTTGCCTTCAAGTAGCAGCCTGGCTTCATCCTCTCCAGGACGAACTTGTTTGTTCCCTTGGCAGCTCATGGTATATTCAGTACTCTTCTCCAGCACCACACACAGCTCAAAAGCATCACTTCTCCTTCTATCATCCTAGTCATTGTCTAGATTTCTGATACATAGCAAGTGATTGCAAAGACCATGGCCTGGATCAGGCACACCTTAGTCTCCAGACTGCCATCATTGCTCTTCAGTACTTTAGTGAGGTTTCTTGACAGCAGACTTTCCCAATGCAATTTGTCTTTTAATTTTCTGCAATAGGAAGACTTAATGTAGTGAAAATGACAAGCCTATCAAAGGCAATCTATATGTTTAATACAATCCAAATAGAGATACCAAATTCATTTTTCAAAGAGATAGTAAAGGAAATTGGCAAGTTTATTTGGAGAAGAAAGAGACTTGAGTGAGCAAAACACTTCTAGAAAACAAGAATGAAGTGGCAGGCGTAGCACTGCTTGGTCTCAAAACCTACTATACAGCTGTAATCAAAACAGCATGGTACTAGTACAATGACAGACACAAAGACCAATGGGAAAGAATTGAGAACTTAGAAATGAACTCATCTCTAATGGTCAACTGGTATTCAACAAGGTAACAAAACCTGTCGAATGGGAAAACAACAGCTCTTCAATAAATAATACTTACAAAAGTGGGCTTCTACCTTCAGAAAGCTAAAGCAGAATATACATGGCAACACCATACACAAAAATCAACTCAAGGTGGATCAGAGACTCAGCATTAAAACCTGGTACCATAAATATCATGAGACAAAATGGGATCAAACTTAGAAGGCATTACCTATAGTAGAAGTAGGCTGATGAATACAGTTGAAATGCACAAGGAGAGGATAACATAGATGAGTGGAACTTCCTAAAGACTAAATCCCTAAGTGTATTTAAAAAACATTTCCAATAACAGACAACCTAGTTTACTGTATAAATAGTACCAATAAATATTTGTGTTAACAAGAAAAAAAAACAAAACATTTCCAATCGGGTGAAAAGAAAGACTACTGACTGGGAAAAACATTTGGCAATGACATCTGTCCCAAACAAGGGTCTCATAATGAAAGTTTACAGAATCCTACAGGGCCTCTTCAAGAAAAAGACTGAACACTCAATTGAAAAGTGGACAAAACACATGGAAAGGCATTTCAAAGAGGATAATATTAAAATGGCCAACAGACACATGAAGAAATGCTCAGAATCACTCATAGTAAGAGAGATGTAAACCAAAACCACAGTGACATACGATTGCACCCTGGTAGCAATGGTGGACAACAGGACAGCAAGCAATAAATATGAAAGAGGCTGTGAAGAGATTGACTCTTGTGGAATAATAAAAGGGTACAAACACTCTGGAAGGCAGTTTGACATTTCCTCAAAAAGTTGAACATAGAAATTTAAAATGACTCAGCTTTTCCACTGCTAGGAATATACTCCAAGGAAATTAGGACTAAGACCCAAATAGAAGTTTGTACACCAGTGTTTCTAGCAGATTTATTCACAATCACAAGAATGTGGAAACAGCCCAAATGTCCCTCAACAAATGACTGAATTGAGAAATTGTAGTACATTTACATGATAAAATACTATGCAGCATTCAGGAGCAATGATTTTAAAAAATAGTATATAACATGGGAGAGGCTGGAGAGCATTATGCCGCGTGAAGTAGTAACTCAGTCTCATGAGGACAAATATTTCTTGAGATCATTATTCTAAAGTGGGATGGTTAACTAGTAAGAGAGGTGTAAATCCAAGGGGGAAGAAAAGGGAATTGGAAGCCTGAGGCTGGAGAGGAGAGAAAGAATGGGGTTGCAGAATTTTGTAGACAGAGGGAGAGGGTGAAGCAATTGGGGTAGATCCAGTGAAGACCTGAAAAGATGGAGTAATTATGGCCATAGATCAATGGTGATTAATTTTATGAAACACCATGTAGGGGAATAATTGTACAAAACACAATGTGAATGAATGAATGTATAAAACACATAGTATACAAGTTTTGTATGCAAACCAATATAAAATTTCAAAAAATGGAGAAAAAAATTACCTTCATATGCTAGATGGAGGACCACCATGAACGGGACTTGATTAGATGACTGTGCATTTTTTGTTGCTGCTTTATGTTATTTTATGAATCATGTATTGCTAAAGTAATTGTTGCTTTTATATGCCATCAAGTCATCTGTGACTGACAGCAACCCTGTGTATATTAGCTCTGAAACCTGCTCTGTCCTGAGCTAACCTCCAGTCACTGAGTCAATCCACCCTTCCAAGCATGATGTCCCTCTCCAAGGACTAGTCCTTTCTGACAGAGATACCTTGTTAAAATAAGGGAGCTCTGGTGGCTTAATGATAAGAAAAGCACAAAAGTTTTCTTTTTTTAAAGCAATAAAATAAACTGAATAAAAGGAAAATATGTGTACAATATTTTTTCTTTTTATTAATTTTAATGAACATTTGCAGAGATTTTGGATTTCCATTCATTCATTATTGCACTTTTCTCCCTGCCTCAGTTTGCTCTTCTCTTTGAAAAGTAAAAGAAATAGTCCTTCATTGGTATACAATCCCTCCCTCAGCCCCCACCGCCTGCCCTGAGTATACTCCGCTCTGCAACTTTCATTCTGAACTCTTATGATAATCATAATACCCTATAATATATTGCTTTTGAACTGTTCTCATATATAATATTTAGATGAAGTCAGAGTTTGTTAGAATTAAAATTCAGATCTTTATGTCTCATGTGTCACAAGAATACACAATCTATATGTGATATATATTGCTAATAACATTTCTTTAAAATTTAGAAAATACTTTAGATTTATCCAATCAAAATTACTAATGTGGGGAAAAGTATCACTGTAAGAAACAGAGTGCTGAAACACAAGAATTAGTTTTAAAAGGGTACCATAAATCTTAAGATGATAGTCTTTTGGGTTTTCAGGGAGAGAGTTATTACATATTTACATTATAGGTCTAGTATGTGATTCAGTAAGAAACTTGTTTTACTGACTGAACATGTACTTTGCTTGACAGGGTCCATATCCATTGAAAAATGAAGTTGATGCAGATCTAATCAATGCAGGTAAATTGACTTGGATGCATCTTTTCCTGGTGTCTTTCTTTCCCATCAGTGTAGTTTGTGTCAAATAATAATAAAGATCTGGACTTGAATTATTATCTTTCCCTGAGCCTAGAGAGTACTCCATAGTATTTTGTTGAGAAGGAAGACTTTTCTTGCCCCTATTTGCCTGTCTCTCTGGTTCAAGGGAGTCTATCACTAAGATCAGATTTTAATAAAGGAAAGACTATACAGATGGACGAGTTAATGGCACGAACTCTGATGGAACAATCCTTTAGAATTCTAATTATAAATAGATGTTGTTGTTAGGTGCCATTATGTCAGCTGTTATTCCTAGTGACTCCATGATAAATAGATTGAAACCTTGTGCTACTCCAACCTCAGTCTCACCCTTCTCATGCCCTTTATTGAAGATTCCGTGTCAGCCAGTCTCATTTAGGGCCTTTTATGACTGTCTCTTTCCCTGACCTTTTCTTTATTGAATCATCATCTCTCTCTTTTTTTTTTTTTAACAACTGGCTCTTCCCATTAACATGCCTTTAAGTATGTTAGTGTAATTGCACTATAACTGTCAACAACTTCATTTTGCTTCGATCCACAATTAACAACGTTGGTACAAGCAGTCAGAAAGTAAGGAGATGCACTGGGAAAATCTGCAGTTAGGGACCTTTTCAAAGTGTTAAAGAGTAGTGATGTCAGTTTGAGGACTAAGATGCATCTGATTCAAGCCATAGTCTTTCCAGCTATGCATTTGAGACCTGGTCAGTGAATAAGGATGACAGAAAAAGGATTGACATTTTTGAGCTGTGGTGTTGGAGAAGGGCACTGAACATCCCATGGACAGCCAAGAGAATAAACAGGTACATCTTAGAGAGGATGCATATGGAGAGCTTTTTGGAGGTAAGAATGATGAGGCTTTGCCTAGTATAATTTGGATGTATTACTTGGAGAGGGACGTGATGTTGGGAAGGGTGGAGGGTCAGTGAAGGAGAGAAAGACCCTCAACCAGGTGGATTGATATGGTGACTGCTGCAGTGGGCTCTTGTGTGTCATGAAGTGTGAGAATGGCACAGAACAGGGTTCAGAGCTTTTGTTCATAAGGTTGCTGTGAGTTGTACGTGACTCAACAGCACCTAACAACAACAACAACAAAGAGCACCTTAGTTGTATTCATCCAAGATAGATCTGTTCTTTTGGAAGTCCATGGACTCTTCAGTACTTTTCATCAACACTATAATTCAAAGACATCAGTTTCTTCGATGCCTACTATTCATCATCCAACTTTCATATGTGAACAAACCTATTGAAATATTTTGGCTTTTATCAGATATACCTTAGTCTTCAAACTGGCATCCTTACCCTTTAAATCTTTGAAGAATTCTTTGACAAAGCATTTTCTAACGCAGTAGGTCTTTTGATTCCTTCACAGTTACTACCATAGTTGTTGATTGGGAGAGTTTAAGGAAGGGATAGTAGACAAGGTGGGAGCTCTGGTGGCCTACTGGTGAGAAGCTGTGCTGCACTCTGAAGGCATGCAGTTAAAACCACCATCTGCTCCACAGGATAGCCAGGGGTCATTCTCCTCCTGTTGAATTAACTACCTCTGAAAATCCACCAGAGGATCAGCTATGAAGTTGGTTCTGACTCACTGGCACACAACAACAACAACAACATATAGAGTTAAAGCAAGTAGGAAGGGGTGATGAAGTACTCTAAGAAACTGTTATCATCCGTAGGCTAAGGAACAGCTTACAAGAGAGGCCACCTCCCTGATATTAGCTGTGGCTTTCAGAAAAGAAACACAGCCAACTCTCAGCACCTGGAGAAGCTGCTTCTCCTCTGCTGAATCTCCTCTTTGTTGCCAATCCCAAGTCAAACTAATCAGCCTTCTCAAAATGGAGAAAAGTAGGGAGTGTATCTGTAGTGTCAAAATGAGGCAAGATCCAGCTTATTGAGATTGTTTTTGTCCTAAGTGTCATAGATTCCCTTGAAATTTTGTAATCCTCACTGGAGTCGTAACAATAGCTACCAAATGTTCAAAATGTTTAAGGATGCCTCTCCCACTTGGTGCATTCCTGTGATGTGAGCAATACATATTTAAATTGTTAACTTGGCTTTGCCTTCTCTTGTTCCTCAGGCCTATACTGTGGTTTATAACAGACAGACTTTTGACTTGCACAGTCTCACACTTAGCAGCAGCTGAGAGGAAAAACGAGAGCAGGTGCTTTGGCCCTGGTCACTGCTGGTGCTTGAGGCAGTCCTGCTGTCCACAGTAGGGGTGGGAATCCTCCTTAGGATGGGACTGTTCGGAAGCTGCTGATTTTTTATCTTCTAGAATGATTTGTGCACTCTTCTCTCTTTCTCCTATTCACTCTGCCCCCACAAAAGTATTATTCTTACATCAACTTTAAAAATAGTATGTGTAAAACTCAGTGGAGAAGTAATATGAGCTTAACATAAAGGCCAGCTGCCAGGTAGAACTGATATTTGATACTTAAAATTTTTGGAAGTAAAACAGCTTCTGGTTGAATAGTTGAATTAGTTAACACAACTCAACTCTGAAAGGCCCACGGTGATAAAGCAATGACATTTAACCAAGGCTATAATTTAATTGTACTGTACCCTTTAGCAATGGCTCATTGATCTGTGAAAATATTTGCTGCTTGGTTTAATTAATTTATGATGTTAGTGAGTTATTTGCAAAAGGAATAACTCCATGGTCTAGATTTCAAGCTTGCATTTAAAACCCCACTTTCCTCAGACAGGCAGTCTGTGTTTACAGGGACATTGCTGCCCATTGGGCATTTCTGAGTGCACGTAGGTTATCAGTGACTCAGTCCTAATGAAGCTGCCAGTGCTATATTTCAACCCTTGGAAAGCCACCTCGAATCTTAAACTAATGTGTAAAACAGTAAGTCAGTGTTTACAGGATTGATGCTGCAAATCCTTTTAATACTATTCTAGCTCATCATTGTCCTTCGCATGACTTTTATCCCTTTGGATTTTGGAGCACTTCAAATTAAAGAAGAAATCCTGTGAATTGGAGAATATAAATTGATGCTTTCCTCAGCTCTCCAGATTACCTGAAAATTACCTGGAAGATCAGACCATTGTTTATGATAATTTGAAAAGATTTGGGTGACAATGGCTTTGAAAGAACACAAAGCGTTATGTTTATGGGTATAATCAGTGTATTAAAATTTAAAGAGTAATGAAACAATTTCTAAGCTTTTCTTCTATGGTTGCATAATAAAAGGAATTACTGTTAGTATAACAGTGTATTACTGTTCATATAACTGTGATTTAGTGACTCAGTGGTTAAAGAGCTTGGCTACTAGCCAGACCAATCAAACTGCAGTGCCAGTGGTGCTTACAGAAGATGTGAAAATTGCTCTCCAGGTATATATGTGTTGTGCTTGCAAAGTCACAGGCCTACCAGTGAATTTACAAAGAGCATAGCATTTGAGGTCTAACTCGTGTTTGCAGCCTACCTTTTTGCCATTACATTGCTATGTCCTGCAGCGATACTGTTTCTACCCACACTGGACCACGTGGTGCACTCTGATTGTAATGTGATTCATACCTGGCTTGCTCCATGCCTTTGGTATTACTGTGATTTTCTCAAGCCTTTTGGTTCTGTCTCCTTCCTGTTTTGTTCCCATATCACCATGAGGAATGGCTTTTTTGAGACTGCATTCTACCTCTCCTTCATGTACCAGCTAAGTGTCCTCTCTAAAAGCTTCTGCAAATCAGAAATGATCTTCTTCAGTTCCCCACCAGTCTACCGCTCTCTCTCAAAGCATAGCACATTGTCCCTTGTCAGTATTTGTGTGTATTTACTTCTTTCCAGCAAGTTCTTTTTGCTTAGAACATTGGTTATCAAAGTGGTCTACACTCAAAAGCATAAGCAAGACTTGTTAAAAATGGAAATCGTCAGGCTCTCTACTTACCTACAGAGAGTCTCCCAGTTGAGCTTAGACACCTGCATTTTTTAAGCCCTCTCTCTACATGACTCTCACGAGTTTGGATGCCACTAGTTTAGGGAAACCACAGTTTTGTTCTTAGGCACTGTCATGTCCAGTACAACCCATAGCAACCCTGTGGACAACAGATCTGAACACTCTCCTAGCCTCTGCCATCCTCCCAATCTTTTTTTTTTATTGGGAAAAACATAATGGGGGTACAAGGAGGTGAGGGTTGGGGGCAGAAGGGTGAGGATGGGCCAGGATGCAGCTGCAGAGCTGCACAGTTTGGTCGGTGGGGGGAGCAGGTGAAAGAAATGATGAGGGTCCAGTGGGGGCCAGATGCTACAGAGGAATGACAAGCATTTTCCAATGGTAATTAAACCAACTGTCTTAATTGAGTTGGGAATTGCATGCTGACTCTCTGGCTTCTTCATGCTGAACAGGGGCGTAGATGTAAAGGGGGGAAGGGAGGACGCTTTATCACCTTACTGGTGGTCTTGGGTTAAAGCTGCTTGCCTTCTTGTTCTGTTAGAAGGTATTTTCCTGTCATTTGCTCCCCTCTGGACTGCAAAGTGTTTTCCCAGGTGGGTCCGGTGGGGATGGCTGGTTGAACCCAGAGGATCCATCCTCCTTTGCTTCCTTAGCTGTCAGTTGTATTTCCTTTTTGTCACTGGCACTGGGTTCACCAATCTTTGATATACTTGAACCCCTTGGTGAAGTCACTGGTCAGTCCATCTGGTTTGAGAGTTTCTCTCTTCAGCTAGCTCTCCAGTGTATGATGCCCCTCTCCAAGGAATCGCCTCTCCTAGCAACATGCCCAAAATATGTGAGATAATACTTTATCATCTTTGTGTCTAAGGACTGTATCTTCTCCAGGAAATAGCTGTTTGGGGTTTTTTGCAGCCTTTTTGGGATGTCCATGGACTGTTAATTTCTCGGCTCCAACACCACAGTTCAACGGCATCGTTCATTGTCCAGCTCTCAGATGCATAGCAAGTGGTTGAAAAGGTCATGGCCTGAATCAGGCACAGCTTAGTTCACAAACTGACTTCATTACTCCTCAGTGAAACTCCTGCAGACTTTCCCAGTGCAGTATTCTTCCTAAACTGCTGGTACCAAAGGTGTTGATTTTGGATCTAAGTAAGATGAAGTCATTGACAGTTTCAGTCTTTTCTCCATCTATCCTGATGTTGCCTGTTGGTCCAGTGGTGAGAATTTTGTTTTCTTCATGTTGATATGCAATCCATATTGAAAGCTATATTCTTTGATCTTCAGCAGCAAGCACTTCAAGTCCTTGTCACTTGAGCAAAGTTTTGTCATCTGCATAGCATAGATTATTGATGAGTCTTCTTCCAATTCATTTGCCACATGCTTCTTTATAGGGTCCAGCTTCCTGAATAATTTGCTTAGCATACAAATTGAATAGGTACGGAGAGGCTACAACCCTCATGTGTCCTTTTTTCATTTTAAACCATGTGGTGTTTCTTTGCTCTATTACGCTACTGCCTCTTGGTCTGCGTATAAGTTTTGCAAGAGTACAATTAAGTGTTCTGGAATTCCCATTCTTTTCATTATTAGCCATAATTTTTTTTTTATAATCCACATGATCAGATGCCTTTATTTAATCAATAAAGCACAAATAGACAGTCTTCTGGTATTCTCTGCTTTTAGCCAGAATTGATCTTATACCAGCAATGTTATCAGACCTGGTGCCACAGTTTCTTCTGAATTGAACCTGAACTTCTCACATTCTGTCTATATATTGTTTTAGTAATTTTTAAATGATCTTGAGTATGTTCCTTGCAAAATAATACCAATGATATTGTTTGATAATTTCTACATTCTGTTGATCACCTTTTTTGGGGAACAAATATGGATCCCTTGTAGTTAGCTGGCCAAACAACTGTCCTCCAGACTTCCTAGCATAGACTGGTGAGCATATCCACGGCTGCTTCAGCTAGTGAAAACATGTCTGTTGGTATCTCCTTAATTCCCAGGCCCTTATTTTTTGCCAGTGCCTTCAGTGCAGCTTGAATTTCTTCCTTAATAACCACTGGCTCTTTTTTTTTCTCTAAAATTTATTTTATTATTTTTTGTGTGTACCGTCAAATCAGATCTGACTGGTACAGTAGGAAATTGCCCCTCCTTCTCCAGCAGAGCTTCTGATGGATTTAAACCTTGTGCTTCTGGGATTGCAGTGCAGCTTCTTGCCCCTAGGCCACTGAGCTCCCTTAACCACTGGCTCTTGATCATATGATACTTCCTAAATTTTTTCAGTGTCCACTAGTTCTTTTGGTGTATTCCTTTCATCTTTTTTAAACGCTCCCTGAATCATTCAAGATTTTTGTCCGTAGTGTCTATTAGGTATGGCCACTCAAGGGTTGAATTTCTTTTTCATTCTTTCAGCTTGAGAAATACTGAGCAAGTTCCCTTTTTATTCTCCAATTCCAGCTCTCTGCAAATTCTGTTATAATACTGACACCCTTTGAAATTTCCTGTTTAGTTCTTTTACTTCAGCCTCTCTTCCCTTTGTTTTGGCTTCTCAACATTAGTGCAAGTTTCATAGTCTCTTCTGATGTCCATTTTGGTCTTTTCTTTTTCCTCTGTCTTTGTAATGACCTTTGGCTCTCTTCATGGATAATACCCTTGATGCCATTCATGATATCATAGGAATAGTAGAGGAATATGAATAGTTATAACTGCACATAGTAGATATTTATAATGTCTAGAGAATACCCTGTGAAGTTATAAGCCAAAAGACTTGACAACTAGTGAGGATGATACAGGATAGGAGAACGTTCACATCTTTTGTACATAGGATCATGGTCTAGAGGGTAACGAGTTCTATTGCCAATCTTGCTTAAATCCTGCCACGCTGTTTGGATCCCTGCCACTCTATTTGAGTCCACTAGCTGCTCCACAGAAGAAAGAGAGATAATCTCTTCTCTTCTGAAAACCTACTGGAGGGTCAACTCTGAATCTGTTCCAATTTGACAGCAATGAGTTGAATTTGAGTAGGGTTTTGGTGTTTTTTGTTTTTGGATTTTTTTTTATTCCAAATATCATGAAAGATTCAGCTAGATCTAAACATTGAAGCATTGCGTTGGTGGTGGTAGGTACCATCAAGTCTGCTATGACGCATAGCAGTCCTTTAAATGACATATCTAAACCTTTCCCGGTGGGTGACTGTTTATCTGCAGCCCTCAGCCCTGTCTTTCATTGTTTTTGTTCAGGCATTCCTCTAGGTTGTATAGTCCTGGTGTACAAGTTGCTATCCTGTGGTCACTTGTGGTTGCTGTGAGGCTGAACACTGTGACACTAATGTGTCAAATGCATTAATGGTTGGCTATCCAATGTGGACAGAGAGTGGGGTGGAATTCTCAGATTAAAACAAGGTTGGAAGGAGGAGTGGCATCCACTTCTATAATAGCTTGCCTCTGGAAACCCTATGAACCTGGAGAAAGGATGAAAGGCACCCAAGCGTCGAGGACCTCCTTCATAGGGTCTCTATGAGTTGCCTGTGACTCGATGGCACTTCACAACAACAACAGCAAACCTTTCCCTATCCTGTGCCATCCTCGCCATCTCTGATGTGCCTGAGCCCATTGTTAGAGTCACTTTGTCAGTTCAGTGTTAAGAATAACATCTGGGGAAAAAAAGAAAGAATACCATCTTATTGAGAATCTTCCTCTGGTTCTCTGCCCCTCCACCTTTCCACAGTGTAGGAGACAAAATCCATTATCCGTCCACATACCCAACAACATTGAGTTGATTCCTACTTATGGTAACTGTAAGGCAAAGGAACATTGCCTCATAGTATTTCCTAGGCTTCACATCTTTCCAATCTTGAACATCCCATGGACTGCCAAAAGAACAAACAGGTATGTCTTGGAGAAGGTGCAGCCAGAGTGCTTCTTGGAAGCAAGATGATAAAGCTTTGTCTCACATACTTTTGAGCATGTTGCAAGGAGGCTATTCCTTGGTGGAGGGGTGATGAAAGAGAGGAAGACCCCGAGTCATGTGCATTGACACAGCGACTGCAGCAGTGGGCTTAAGCAAGTCAAATTGTGAGGATGGCACAAAATAGGAGAATGTTCAGGTTTGTTGTTCTCAGGGTCACTGTGGGTCGTATTAGAGTCAGTGGCACATAACAACAGCAACATCTTTACAGAAGCAGACTGCCTCATCTTTCTTCCACAGAATAGTGGATGGGTTTGAACTGCCAGTCATGTGATTAGAAGCTAAATTGCCTTATCTACAGTGTCTCCCTTTTTATATGACACAGTTTATAGTTACATGACTTTTCATGACCAGATTTACATTGTATTGAAAAAACCTGGCGTCTAATATGAGATATTAATTTTTACTTTAGTATTATTTTAAAGTGCTGAAAATTTAAGTTTGTGCCTGAAGAATAGTGTGTATAAGATGCATTAACAGGGAACTGGAATAACAATTTATATAAGTTTCATTCTGGGTTGTTGACTAAAACTTTGCTTTCTAAATTATATGGGGAAGAGTGATACTCATTGACACCAAAGTTTCCTGCAAAAGGTAAATAATGCCCTCTATCACTGCTGTTAGAGCTATTTTACTGCAGCTAGCAACACATGACATGCACGACTAGTCAGTGGAAAGCAATTTTCCTTTGGAAGTACAAGCTCCTGTAACTCTTGAGTTATTGTTGTGTCCCATGGAGTCAGAACTGACCACTCCAGTGGATTTTCAGAGACAGTTAATCACACGGGAAGAGATTACTTATCCTTCTCCCTGGAACAACTGGTGGGCTCGAACCACTTGCCTTCAGGATTGGAGTGCAGTTTCTTACCACTTGGCACCAGAGTTCCCTGAAGAGGAAAAAAGGGGAGGGGGACCACAAGAAGGAAGCAGTTCCAGTATGAGTCAGGAGATACGAGCTGTGAGGACTGCAAGATCCTTCAGATCTATTCCAGCTCTGAACATTTATTGTGAGATATTAGAGGATGTCTTTGGTCTAATTGCAGAGCTGCTGTGCACCATCAAAGGCACACAGCTTGAATCCACCAGCTGCCCTGTGGGAGACGGGTGGGCAGACTCTTCTCGTGGGATTTGCTACCTCTGCAAACCTGCTGCAGAGTTAGCCATGAGTCAATTCCGACTTGATGGCATCCAACAACAGAGAAACTCTTGAATGTTAACATGTTCACGGGTATTAATACAGCCTTCCAGATTTCATCAAAAGCCTGTGTTGATGCAATACCGAAGGTGCAGGATTAGAATCCACCAGTTGCTCCGTGGAGAAGGAGGGCCAATCTCCTCCATTTAGGTCCAGTTCAACAGTGTTCACACACACACACACACACACACACACACACACACACACGCCTTTGTTGTTGGTACAGTCTTCATAGGGCAAAGGAGGGAAGGTGAGTGCAGAGAGCAAAGATAGGAGGAAAAAGGAATAGAGAAGGACTCAGATTGAAGGCAGACACTCAGTTCTAATCATGTTAGAATTATGTGGGGCCTGTATTATTTATTGATATTTTAAAGTATATCTGAGGAGACATCTCTTACATCATTCCTGTAAAAATGGCTTTTATTTTTGGGATCATGTTTATGTCACACTTCTTTTGCCCCAGTGACTTAGAACTCTCTGAGGTTCTGACACATGACCTCAGAAACTCCCTCAAATCCTCACTCCTGCTAACATTTTTGCAGTATCTTTAAGAGGGTAATACTGTCCCCTGGACATAGGCAATAGAAGTCTGCATTTTATGTAGACTTTCTAAATAGTAGTATAATGAGAAGTTTGTCTCTGTCACAGTGCCAGGAAAATTGCCCGTTTTGCCAACTGTGGAAGTCCTCTCTTCACAAGTTCTACGGGGCTACTGCATTTTGGGAAAGAGAGCCTTAGTTGTTTCAGAGACAGAGGACAGAGTGCAGACCCCTCCCATGCCATCTTTTAAAATCTAATCCCCTTTTCTTGTTTTCTCTTCCTCTCTTTTGTGTGTTTAGGCAAGGAAACAGTCACTGTTCTTCCCGGAGCTTCTTATTTCTCCAGTGATGAATCATTTGCAATGATTAGAGGGTATGTAATAACGGGGGCCCTCGTGTTCCACGTGCAGTGTTACAAGCTGAGTCATTCCCCAGGGAGTTAGGAGGGCTCTGGAACCAGGGCTTCTAACCAGTTGGTCCCCCTCAAGCCCCCCGGCGAACCTTCATTTTCATCCCAGACATACGGAAGCAGAATCAGTAGTTGAACACGGTCCCCCGGGGATTTTGGTTCGAAGCCCCGTCTGGCATCACAGTTCCCAGCTGTAGGACTGTCATAGGTGTGTTCATCTGTAACCGTGTGTGAAATTAGTCAGATGGAATATTGGGAACTGAAATCCACGGCCTTGCTACTATTAAAAGAACCACTGAAACGGATTATTTCTCTGTGTGTATGTGTGTGTGGGAACTATATTGAAGCAAACATTGCTAAGAATCTTTTTTGAGGATTAGAACATTTTCCTACTAGCTAGCGCTTGCCTTCAAAGAGATGTGAATCCAGTTCAGCCCCTTGCTGAGACTTTGCCTTTCCACTTTAAATATACTTAATCCTTATCTACATTTTAATAAGATTCCAAGGTGAGTCTTAGGTATACACTCTGGTTCATAGTCAGTATATCTGGGGCAGGAATGAAAGTTATTGGCGCTTGGTGGGAGCTTGGGGGTATTAAACTGGAATGACCCCAATGGCAGTCTCTTCCTGTACCACTTATAGACTCTGAAATCCTGCTGGAGGGTCAGCTCTGCATCCATTCTGACATGATGGTGCACAACAAAAACAGAGGGAAAGAAATTCACTAATTACTTTTCGAACTGATAGAGGGTATAATTATTTTTTTTCTCCCAAACACTAATGGATTTTCTTATGGGAAAGCAGTTCTCCTCTGGGACCATCACATAAATGGAAAAAGGGACATGGAAAAGAAGGGCTTTAAAAACTTTTGTATTAAACAACTATGAATCAATCTAGAATAGAGATTGAGACATTTTTTCCTGTCAGAGAATAACGATCCTAGACTTCAGAATCTTTAAGATGTCTGTGGCAACTGTTCCTCTCTCTCACTGTAGTATGAAAGATAATAAATTCATAAGTGAACGAGTCTTGCCATTGTGTCCTAATAAAATTTTATTACAAGATTAAAAAAAAAACCAACCCAACAACTTTTGTACAGGAATTTTCCCCCTTCCATCAGGAATTGCCCTCATTTCATAACATCTGCTTTTTCTAATTTCAGTAAAGTTTGCAAATCATCTTGGTTTTTCTATAATGATTCATAGACATTTTGTTTTATAGCATTAATTATCATTGATTAATTAACTGTAGTGCCTAATCAACCCTTATATAAAAAAATCTCTTACACTATCATGCCTAATCAACCCTTGTATAGAAAGACAGCTTAATGGTTATTTCTTTGTACAAAAAGCGAGAGTGTGAGCTGAGAGCTGATCTATTTGGAAATCAGTTGTGGGTCATGAAAAAGTACATTATTTTGGGGGGCTATATTATCACTTTCTTAGTTTGAAGCGATGCCAGCAAAGAGTACATGCAGTGTGTGTAGTTTGCGTCACATCTCCAGTTCTCTCTTTTTCTGGCAGGGGGCACGTTGATCTAACAATGCTAGGAGCAATGCAGGTTTCCAAATATGGCGACCTGGCCAACTGGATGATACCGGTGAGTACTAGTTTTTGCTTGCCTCAGAATAAGTATTTTTCAAATATTAGGCAAAAACCTTGCCAAACTGATGTGAGAGCACAGGATAGCTATTGAAAAGGTGAATAAATATATTAATGTGTATTTCTTCTGTGAGTCAAATTTTAATTATGCAGTCACTGAGAAGTATGTTGGTGTTTACCAATGCTGCTTTATCATTGGAACAAACAATAGACAAAAAGGTTCACAGCACTATTTCCTTAGAAAATAGAGCTGGGGAAGATTTAAAAAAAAAATAAAACACACACACACACACACACACACACACACACACACACCCAACCAACAGCAAACCAACCACTTTTTGGAGATGGGTTAATTATACCCCAATGAAAATAAGAAGTACAGTTATTTAGCATAACTAAACTAGAGAAAACAATTTAAGAACATCATTGATTTTATGTTAAGACTGTTAGTGTTTAAAGGCATTTTATGTTCGATCCTGAAATGCGGGAAGTAATAAAACATTTTGTGGTCTTTTATTATGGAATGTAAAACTTAGGACCTTTTATTTTTGTTATTATTAAATTGAATGACTACTTTTCTTCTTTTTTGTTAAATTTTTATTGGTTTGATTATAATCATTTATGTATATCAGATTATACATGCTTTTGTGTTTTATATGGTTATTCATGTACATTGCTATGTTTCGTTCATGTACCTTGTGTTTTATATAATCATTCATATATTTTTTATGTAATTATTGACCATTGATCTGTGCCCATTGTCACCCTATCTTTTCAAGCCCGCAATGGACCTTTCCCATTCCTTCACCCCCTCTCCACCCAACAGCTTCTATTTTCTAAGTGAGTTTTCTCCCTTGCCCCTTTTTCTGTTCTCTCTTCCCCTTTGAGCATTTATATATATCTTGCTCAGTTATCCTCCACTTATCACAATAGTGATCTTATGCAACAGTTATCCTTATGCGACTGAGTTATTTCATCCAGGATAATGTTCTTTATATTCTCTCATGTTATATAATATTTTATGAAATCATTGCTCTTTTGTGCCGTGTTGTTGTTAAGTGTCATTGAGTTGTAGATGACTCATAGCGACCCTATGAACAAAAGACCTGAGCACTTGTATAATTTTCATCATTTCTCCCAACTTCATAGAGTTTCTTGAGGCAGGCTATTTCAGAAATGGGAATCACTCCTGCTTCCAAGTTTGTTTTAGTCGAGAAGCTCCACCAAACACTGTCCACCATGGGTAACCAGTATCACATTTGACACATCAGAGTCATAGTGTTTAGCATCCCAGCACCCACAAGTTACCTCTGTACAGCAAATGGACAGACCAGTGCTATACCACTTAGAAGAATGTTTGACCAAAACCAATTAAAACTAGGCCTGAGGACCGCAGGCCCAAGGGCCCAAATGCCTTTTTAAATAGGAGACCAAATAAAATTAACTTGCACCCAATAGCAAGCAAACATTCCACCCTAATGTAACCAAAAACCAAAGCTTTGTAGTGCTGCATAGTATTCTGTTATATTGGTGTATCACAGTTTCTGAATCCATTTGTTTGTTAATGGGTATTTTGGCTATTTTTTTTCTTTCTTTTTTTCTGTTGTGAATGTCATTATGAACATAAATGTATATATCTCAATTTGTGTCTCAGTTCTGTTTTCTTTGGAATAAATTCCTAGCTGTGGAATAGCTGAGTCCTATGGGATTTCTGTGTCTCACTTTTTGAAAAAACACCAAACTGCCTTCCATAGTGCTTGTACCATCTCACAATCCCATGAGGAGTACATATAAATTCCAGTCTCTCCACATCCTCTCCAGCATTCTTGTTTTCTGTCACTGTTGGAGAGAGATGGTATCTCATTATTGCTTTGCTCTCTGATTGCTAGTGATTTTGAACATTTCCTTGTGTGTTTCTTGGCCATCCGGATGCCCTCCTTTGTGAAGAGTATTTTCATGTCTTTTGCCCATTTTGTGATTAGGGTAATCAGTCCTTTTCTTGTGGAGGCCCTGTAGTATTCTGTAAACTTTAGTTTTGAGACCCTTGTCTGAAATGCCAAATATTTTTCCCCCAATCTGTGGGCTTTCTTTCTATTCTGTAGAAAGTTTTTGATGCACATAAGGATTTGATTTTAAGAAGACCCCACTTGACAATTTTATCCTCTCCAGGTTGTACATTTTGGGCTATGTTTGCAAGCCTATTTATGTTGTAGGTTAGGGTTTCATTTTTTAATAAAAGCTGTAAGAGTCAGTGGGAATCACCAGGTCTTTTTTAGTTTATTTCTGAGACCAGCAATATCCCAGAAGGAATTGACTCAGTGCTTTGTATATATGTACATACACACAGACACATGCACATACATTTTGTGTGTGTGTGTGTGTGTGTGTGTGTGTGTGATGGTGGTTTTTGCCATAAAATTGTGTGTGATGTTGTTTCCTTTACCAAAAATGTCCTCTTTTTTGACATTTCTTAGTGGTGGTGTTTACCTTGGCAAGACTGTGACATTTAAACATGTTTGTGAAATGCAAATAGTTTTCATTTAATAATGACCTGAATCAGGATTGCATCTTAGAATTAACTTTGAAAGAAAGACTCTAATCAGTGTTCATGATTTAATTCATGAATGTGTTCCATTAGATTCTGTTTTATGTGCATAGAAACAACATCCAGGATTATGAGCTTATATTTTATCTGTTAACACAGGTTATTCTTATGTGTACATTTAAGGAATTCTATGTGACTCTCTGTAAACTAAATAAATTCACTGTTAAGGAGTTAGCTAACCTTCCATCAGGTTTTTGGCGGTTGTAGGTCATGTGGGAGGAGATTGCCCATCTTTCTCCCCAAGAGCTGCTGGTGGGTTCAAGCCAGCAGAGAGACCCCACCTTTGGTTTAGCACCTCAGCCCCCTGCTGCTGATGACACCACAGTTTCCTGTGTTTCTCTAGCATCAACTGCAAGTAAGTAATTGAAACTGCAATTTTATTGTTTGAAAACAAAATTCTTCAAATTTTCCTCCAATAACTTTTTTGATGAAGGTGAGATAATATCATTGATAAAAATCTTTCAGGTTGTGAGAGTTTTCACTCTGGATTTATCCTGAATGAAGAGATAGTCTCACTGCCAACCAACCCAAAGGTTGGCAATTCGAATCCACCAGCTACTCTGAGGAAGAAGGACAGGCAGTCTCCTCCTGTGTGAGTTACAACCTCTGAATACCCACTGGAGGGTCAGCTATAAGTTGGTTCTGACTTCGAATTAATGAGAAAGAGCGAGAGAGAATATCCTCTTTTAAAAAAATAAATAAAATTTTTATTTCATACTGGTTTACTTGCAAAGTACATTTACATTTTTTTTCACACCAGACCTTTCCCATTTTCTTTATTCACCCCTTCCTCCCTCCAGCCATCAAATTCTACAGTCCTATGATGACCCCCTGCCCATCCTCATCCCTCTGTTCCTACCCTCATCACCTTGGATCCTCATACGTATTTTACTATTTATCTTTCTATTTCTACAATAACAGTCTTATACAGTATTTGTCTTTATGAGACTGAGTCAGTTCACTTAGCATAATGCTCTCCAGACCCTCCCAGGTTAGAGAGTAATTTACAAAATCATGGCTCCTACATGCTGTGTAGTGGATGTTCCATAATTTCTCAACCCATTTGATTGTGGTTGGACATTTGGGCTGTTTCCATGGTCTTGTGATGGTGAATAAGGCTGCTGTGAACATTGGTGTACAAATCTCTGTGCTTCGGTTATCATTTTCTCGAGGTTTATTCTAGGCAGTGGAATAGCTGGGTCATAGGGAATATTCTTTTGAGAGTTCTGGTGGTATATTCCATAGTGTATTGAGCTGCTAACTCAGAGATCAAGAGTTTGGTGGTTTGAATCTACCAGCAGCTCCATGGGAGATGGAGGCTCTTCCAGCTACAATTTGCAGTCTTGGAAACTCAGTAGAGGGTCACTATTGTGTCAGAACCAGTTTGACTCTGATGAGCTTGAGTTATGCTTTGGTTTTTATTTTAGAATATCAGTCACAACTAAGACACTGATACAAATTGTTTGTATATTGAAACTACCTGGGCAGTTTTAAAAACTACTGGTACCTAGGTCAGTTCTGCAGAGATTCAGAGAATTTTTGCTGGGATTTTTTAAAGCTTCCCAGATGGTTTCAATAGTCAATTAAGTGCATTGAAGAGTGATCATAATTAATATTTAAAATATGAGGGAAACCACCTCTGACACATTAATAGTATGTACCCTTAATGAATTAAGAGTTTACCATTGTTTGAGTTATAATAAACCAAGTCTAGATTTTCTTGATAGTTCTATTAATTTTCAGACATATCATTTAGATATGTAATATTGTTCTCACCTGTGAATTAAAGACTAGGTCATCTTAAAGATCCCTTCTGGGTCTCATAATGGTTAAGCACAGAACCTTGTAATAAGAGCTGGGATTATAATTTTGTTATTTGTTAGCAGTGTGACCTCAGACAACTGGCTCTTTTCTCTATATATAAAATAGGAGTAATGGAATGCAGCCTTTAGTATGGATTGCATCTCAATATCAAGAAAACAAATATTCTTATCACTGGACCAACAAATAGGCAGTGTCGTGATGGATGGAGAGGAAATTGAAACTGTCAATAACTTCATCTTGCTTGGATCCACAGTTAATACCCTTCATATAAGCAGTCAGAAAATAAGAAAACACATTGCACTGGGTAAATTATTGAGGAGTAGTGATGTCAGTTTGAGGACTAAGGTGCATCTAATTCAGGCCATAGTCCTTCCAATTACTAGCTATGCATCTGAGAGCTGGACAGTGACTGAGGATCACAGAAAAAGAATTGACACCTTTGAGCTGTGGTGTTGGAAAAGAGCATTGAACAACCCATGGGCAGCCAAGAGAATGAACAGATATGTCTTGGAGAGGGTGCAGCCAGAGTGCTCTTTGGAGGCAAGAATGATGAGGCTTCACCTCAC